ACCAATGCTAAATGCAAAGGCTCATACCATATGAATACGAATATTGTCATAACCCAATTTTTCCTTTAAAGGAAAAAAATCAAAAAAGGAAAAAAAGAATAATAAAACAAAAAACAAAAAAAAAAAAACAAAAAAGGAAAAAATATAAAATCTCTAAAACATCTGTTGAAATCTTCCACCGATCTTTTTTAATTAGAATCTCCTTATTTTTAGCTAGAAAAATCTCAAATTTAAGATTCGATAATTAAAATTTGATTTGATTTTGGGAGAAATTTTAGGATGTTTTCGGCCTATAAAAAGCTTTCGGATTTCAATTTGCAAAAGAAGAAAAAGGAGGTAAAAAAAAAAAGCAGCAAAAAAAAAAAAAGCACGAAAAAAAAAATACCGAAAACCTAATTGGAGCTAACCAAACGAGCCCTAACCCGCCGACTAACCCGTTCACCAACCCGTTTACCCGATCGGAAGTTTCACCCTCAATCCGACCGTTTTCCGGTCGGTTTTAGCCCCAAACACCACACCCTCGTGTAGCCTATCACTAGATCGGCCCATCAACACCGGTTAGAAAGAGAAAAAAATCACGAAGGAGAGAAAAATCAAAGATCAAACCACCACGACCCGACCCGAAACAATACCCGTTTGTTTCTCTCAACTCCGGTCACCAACACACGAACCTCCACCACGGACACCGCTCGCCGGTCTCTCCCGAGCATTTTCATATAACTTTGACGGCCCAACGACACCGAAAAACGGTTTAATTGACCCCGACCCGTTTGCTACCCGTTTTGGTAAACCCAAAAAAATTGGCCGATCTAGGAATAATTGGAGGTCCTAACCACCACGGAACTTCTTCTCGCGACCTTGCGAGTCGACCGGTGGGTTTGGAATCCCGATAGGAGGTTGGATTCATTGTTGGTGAAGAAGGGAGATCCGGCCAAACCTTTGGAGGCTCCGATCTCCCTCCTCCGGCATCGTCTCCGGTTGGAACCACCGCCATTGGAGTCGCAATGGCCGGATCTACAAGGCTGGGTGGTCCACGCGCCGAAACGGGCACCGGAAGACGAACGGTCATCGGAAGACGAACGGTCGCTTGGCGGTGACTCTTGGTATTCCGGGGGCATTTTGGTAATTTTACGGTGTATGTGAATTTTGGACTCTTTTTTTTTTTGAATTTTTTCTTTTTTTTTATGTGTTTTGTAATAATTTTTTTTGTCTTATGCATGTTCGAAAATCCAAAGCTATTTAGTTGTGGAATTTATTCTAATATGTGATTTTTTTTTATGTGATTAAAATATTGGATCAACGAGTCTCCTATTTATTAGGGACGGACGGTGATTTTAATACATTTAATTTCTAGTTAATTTCAGTTAGTTAAAATCTTAGTTTTTTTTTATATTATTAAGAAAATAAAAAAAACTAGACAAAATATATATCAAAATTTTCGACGAAGCCTCCTATTTGATAGGGGCGACGTCATAAAAAATCACATTTTAATTAAGACGTCCTTCGACACGTCGGTTGTGTTAAGGCTTAAAGTGGATCCGATGTTTGAATCGACGTGTTGCTCGACGAAGGGGACCGACGATCGTTTCAATACGATGCCACGCTCAAAATTAAAAAAAATTCAATTTGTTTAAAAAATGAGAGATTAAGAGTCGGAAAATAATTTGACATTTTAGGAGATAAATTTAGAGCTAAAACCGGACGTGGTACCTTTCTTTGGAAAGGACACTTTTGGGTGATCGACATCTTCCCAAAAGCGTAACCAACCCCTTACCATAGAATCTCCGAACCGAGTGTCCGTTTTAGATTCCTAGTTCCTTCGATACTAGGTGGCGACTCCAAAATCTGTAAATAAACTTGTAAATAATCAATCTAAATTTTAAATATTTTCGAGGAGTCCCGTCCGACGTCGGGTAGCGACAAATATCATTAGCTGCACATAATAAAATTTGTATTCAAGCCACAAATGTTTGTGTTTTTGAGTTACGTCCAGATCATTAGAATTTTTTCTTAGAGTGAAATCACTTCCATTCACGCTAGTTCATCGTGGAATTTCCGTTTTTACTGTTAGTTCTACCTTCCTTCAAATGTAACTTCTGCTGTAATTTTTATTATCACTTAAAATATAACAATCGATCCAACGAATATATATGAAGTGATGAAATGGACATGTAATATATTTTGACATATTTGAGGCCCCAAAAGCATATATTAAAACAGATCAAAGTTTTTGAAGAGACACTAAAAAGGAGAATTTAGAGTAGGGTCGATGAAGAGAGTAAGAAGAAATGGTCTGCTATCCGGTGATAAGGCCATATTGGAGGCTTGGGATCGATATCTTCTACTTGTCGCGCAAGTTCCAGAAATAGCCAGAAGGATTTTCATCAAATCCTTTCCTTGGTATGCGAAAATTCTGCCCTAGTGATTTCATTGTTTTACCTCCAATACATCTGCAGCAACTATACATCAGGAAACCTATCACTACCATAGCAAAAACTGTAGTAACGTTTTCTTTGTTAAACCATTTGACCAACGCTGCATCAGAAGGAATAGATTTTTGTATTATATCTGAAAGCTCATGGACGAAATCAGAGACTGCATCAGAAGCCATAAATTTCTGTATTGCATCTAAAAACTTATGGATGAAATCGTGTATTACATCTGAAAGCTTGTGGATGAAATCAGAGACTGAATCAGAAGCCATAAAGTTCTGAATTACTTCTGAAAGCTTATTGATATCAGAGACTGCATCAAAAGCCATAAAATTCTTTATTACATCTGAAAACTTATGGATGAAATGAGAGACTGCATCAGAAGTCATAAGTTTCTTTATTAAATCTGAAAGCTTGTAGATGAAATCAGAGACTGCATCAGAAGACAAAAAATTCTGTATTACATCTGAAAACTTATGGATGAAATCCTGTATTGCATCTGAAAGCCTATGGATGAAATCAGAGACTGCATCAAAAGTCATAAATTTCTGTATTACATCTGAAAGTTCATTGATGAAATCAGAAACTGCACCAGAAGCCATAAATTTATGTATTGCATCTGAAGACATATAGATGAAATCCTGTATTACATCTGACAGGTTATGAAAGAAATCAGAGACTGCATCAGAAGCCAAAAATTTCTGTATTACATCTGAAAAATCATTGAAAATTATGGAAAGAGAAGAAGATGGTTGCATTGCTTAGGGGCGCCAGACTGCGATTTGTATAGAAATGATGGGAGGGGAGTGTTTTGAGTAAGGAAGAGAATGGAAGAGCATGTAAGGAGATAAAAGTTGACTTCACATTTAAGAAAATGTGGTGTTATATATGCATGGCTTTGTGGTAGTGGCAGCAAAACTAACGAATTTTTTTCTAACATAAATTTTGCAAGGACTGAAATGATAAATTTCCATACCTTTGGAGTTTAAATTGGCCTTATTTCCAAGTCCTTTTCATGTAAAGATTCTCACATATTTTTTCCACTGGCAAAAGCTTAAATCGACAGAAAGCATCAATCTCAAGAATTTGATGGCAAAAGCTTAAATCGACAGAAAGCATCAATCTCAAGAATTTGATTATGTACGATAGTTATTAAATTCTCAGGAATTTCATCCCTTCGGTGTTTTGCTTTAAGATATCCATATACTGTTGCAATGTTCATGGCAGTGTACGATTACACGTAGAACCGTGGAAAGTGATATGGACATGGTCCACCGTCTAGTAACCTAGTGTTGGGTTTCCCTCCTAGTTTGAGAATGGCCCAAAAGTTTACCTATATGAGCTTAATTTTGGAATCTATATAGAGGAGGATTTTTATTAATCAGTTAAAGGGTAATTTTAGTATTTTTAAATAAACCCTATTTTCTCTTTTATTCTGAAATCAGATTAGTGAAGAAGAAAGAGAGAAAAAGAAGAGAAAAAAGGAGTGAGAGTCGCAACTTTGGAGAGAAAGAGGTAAGAGAGTTTCAGCATATATCAGTCACGTTAAAATTGAGTTTCTGGGTTCGTTAACCGTTGGATCGAGCTCAAATTTGGTGGGCACGTTCAGGAGAGGCAGGCGCACATTCTGGACGGTGGAGATCGGGTTTTGAGTCCTAGAGAGGGAGATATTGTACTCGTAACAGTGCTATTTTCTGTTGAAATCTGAACTTGGTTTCTTCTACTTTTTTTGTGTATCATCTTTTGATGTGGTTTGCCAAGGGTGTGTAACCTTTGATGTTTATGGCTGATTATTCATCTAGTTTAATCTAGAGAGAACTCCTTGTACCCATTATTGTTGATAGTGGAAGTTATAGTGGACTCCGGTCCCGTGGTTTTTCTTTCTCAAATTGAGGAGGTTTTCCACGTAAAAATTTGTATGTGCTTTGTGTGATTGTGATTGGTTGCTTATTTTTCAGATTATTAGTTACTTGTTTGGCTTGGGTATTTGGTTGTAGCCTGTGGTTGATTGTTCAAACAAGGGCAAATGGGTTCCGTTGTGTTATTTGTGTTTCTTTGCCCAACACCTAGATGCTTGCGAGATGACGATTTTTAATTATCTACACTAGATATATACGATAGTATTTTTTATATTTGTAAATTGCCGTTGGTAAAGAATTCTAATAAAAACTTTTAATACAACTATAGAATAAGAATAATTATCTCATCATATAAATCTTTGTGTTAATATTGTTAACCATCCTTATGTAGATGTTCAGCGTGTGATTATGAGAGATAAGGCTAGTGTTGTTTGATTTGGGGGCTATTTTTTTTCTGTAAAAAAAAAAAAAGAAAAAGAAAAAATATTATAAACAATATAAAGATTTTTTTTTATCAACTAATCTTTACAGTTTTTCGATGATCCTTATTTGGTCCAGCATTCTACTTCTTCACCCCTTACAAATAGAAATATCACAGTTTGAATGGCCAATTCATGGTCTATAGGCTACAAAGAACCTATCAAGGCTCGTACATATATGCACCATGGATGCCAATATTGTTGATAACTAGTTTTTAAGTTATAGTTTTAAGTAATTGGGACAGCTATACTCGAGCCTTTTTGTGTGCTCGTGATTGGTCAAACTCAAGCCTAACCCAAATTACAAAAAGATTGAGAGAAAACAAAGTTGTTATCAAAGCAACATTTCATTTAAAAGCTTAAATTCTT